TTGACGCAGGCTACATCCATATCCGCTGAAACTGGTGTAGATTGCAGGCGAGCGCTTTTGATCCGTCGCTGTTTACAACTTTCTTTAGGCTCTTCAGGCTCTGTGTGTTGCGATACCACACATTTGATAACCGAAAAAGACTCTGAGGAGCCCACAGGTCCTGGATGAGAAGCGACATCACCACAGAGCCGTAGGAGACCGACAACAAAGTTATCGACTGGGAGGTTAGTGTAGTCACGAGTTGAAAGTAGCTTGAGTTTGATAAGCGATTTGTCTGCGGCAGTGGGATTGGAATACCTCCATAGCTGGAACATACCATTAGAGCTGTAATTAGTGTGACTTGGCGCTGATGTACTAAGCCAGCGACGGATAAGTATGAGAAAGATCGCAGAGGCCAAACAGACACGGCCGGTCGCCATCTTGACACGCTGTCACCTGCGTCACGTTTGTATGGGAGTCCCTCCGGGGAAGCAAATCACCATCTGTTCCACTTGATTTTTCGTAAGGTCAATGATTACCGTCTCTTGACAGTATTAGCTCTGCTTCACTCAGTCCAGACTTCGATGGATGACAGGTTTCATGGTGAGAAGTAATGGTGTCCTGACATTCGTGTATCAGTTGGGAGAAACCGCGTGAACTTCCCTCCTTTATTTTCGTACTTTCTCTGAAGTTGCACGATTCGAAATTGATGTTGAAACTTTATTATTTGCGTTTGCCAACTTCTTTATTAACTGGCTGTGATACAAATGTAGCCTTGGACTCCGGACTGTTCCTAGGAGCGTGAAATCTAAAGCTGACGACTCCCGATTGGAAGAAACAGTCAGTAAAAGGAAGAAACCTTCTAACTGAAATTTCAATAACAAAGGTCTTCAAATTTGTTCGAAAATGTGGGCTCCAGATCAGTGGAAGGTAAATAAAGGAAAAACAGTAACTCGCAGTTCGCAGTTGAGTACTATCGCCCCATGTTAAGGAATACAAGACAGTCTTGGATTCCTGATCCCAATCCGTGGATTGTTGATTACGGGTGCTGGATTCCAGTCTTTTTCAGTGGAACTTGGATTCTGGATTCCATTCCTTAGTGGGATTTCGGAGTACTTGAGCTCTATTCTGGATTCCAGATTCCACGGGCAAAATTTTCCCGGATTTTGGATTCTACAAGCAAGAATTTCCCAGATTCTAGAATCCGGATACCCTTACATGGGGCGAAGTACTAGTCAAACATTGCCGTACCTGTTCACGCACATTTAAACAAGCAGTGGGAAATTTACTTTTCCTCTAACGTTCGATTTTAAAATGTGATGGATCGGGGTAACTTCTGGTCAATGCAGCTTTTTCAGACTGGACCACATTTTTAAATTAGAAGAGGTTTGGTTCTGAAACGATATTTTTCTGTCTTCACATAACAGACTTCACACGAATGTTTGGGGCAGTGGGTAATTAAATGAAGCTTGGAAGGATTTTTTTACGTGCTGAACTAATTTTTGAACAATATATATCATTTGCCAAGGGGAAAAGGGAATTTTAACATAGTTTTGGTGGGAAAATGAAGCATATCTTACTTAAAAGTGGCAAGTATTCTAATAACTGAGGATTTTGCTGTGACAGCAGCCGGTACTGTCACGTAACGCAAATTGACATTTGACTAAATTTGAGTTCAAACCTTCAATTCTGAATCGCGATGTGCCACAAGTTCTATCGTACAACTTGACAAAATAGCTATTAATCTTTAACTAAAACATGTTCTTAGGTCTGACTTAGATGCCACATTGGAGAATTTTCTGATGATTTTGAGGCATTTATTAGTGCATTTTCCTTTCTTAATTGGATTAGTGAAATAAAGACGACCAGTTTTTGCTGATCACAGAAAGATAATACCCAAATGGTATTGGTACAGTAAGAAGAAGTAAGAAGTAATATGCTTCAAAATGAGTGCAAATAGTCTAGGATTTGATGACCCGAAGTACTTTTCAACGATCGTTAAAAAACCTGTATAACAGAAATTTTAGCCGCTAACGGTCATCCAGCAATGAAATGCTGGGAATGGCAGTAAAATAAACAATTTCCTCATTCTAAATGCAATTTCGTTATAAGGATGGGTAGTAGTATTGATGGTAAAAATATAAGGCAAATGTTTTGTTGAGTCCGAAATATGTGGACCGCTTTTAGGGCAGTTCAGTATTGTAATCAAACCAGGAGCCTCTCATATTAGATGCAATATGAATCGAATCATCAATTCAACAGCTTTACAGATGATAATAATTACTAGAAGACAAAGAACTCAATCAGTATTAACTGCCTCTGATCAAAATTAATCTTAATCTCATTAGTCTGTGCTGTGACCTTTTGATAACCACTTTGACAGTCACATTCATTACACAAGCAAGAACAACACCACACTGACCCAAGATTCACCCTATAGAAAGGTCATAGGCAGAAAGTTGTTGTGGGGTTCCTCCAAGATCTATCTTCAGACCCTTTTATGCTCTCTATTCATCGACAAGAGTAATTTTTATCCTTAGTTTGAATTTTCTGGTCTTCACTAATGACACTAGTGTAATTATGTTTATTTTGGTCCAAGGCTGCTCATAGAAATGGGCAAACCTTCAAAACGGTTCCAGGTTTTCTTAAAATCTAGATTATCCAGTGTAGATAAAATTTACCAGTATGTAATTGACTCGCATACAAGCTATTATCATGGCTCATTTTAATGCACCGTGCTGCTTATAACAAATGAATATCCTGCTATCTTCTACGGTCAATACCTGCTTCACGTCGATTCTGAGTTTCACTATTACCGTCTCTTGGCGCCCTCGCATTTCTTGTGTCTACAAAAGAAAACAACAAAACTAAAAGAAGGTTGCCACCGAAAAGATTGAAAAGCAAACTTTGAAAAAGGTTCAAGGTGAATAGGTTCTCCTAAAATTTACATAATTCAGTGTAAATGAAATCTACCGCTTTGTCATTCACTCGCAGGCTATTATATACCTCTTATTAGCCGAGTTTTCGGTCCGTATTGTAAATTACGGACCGAGTTTTTTTCCATGGATTTATGGCCCAAGCGCGAAGCGCTTGGGCCATAAATCGATGGAAAAAAAACGAGGATCCGTAATTTACAGTACGGACCGAAAAAACGAGGCTAATAAGATGTTCATTATATGGCTTCTTCCAGTTTGGGGGACCGGAAACAAGTTCAGGACGCGCGATTTGACAATCATTTGACAGGCACCAAGAAAGCAAGTTTTCATTGGCTCACGAAAACAATAGCACACAACAAAGGGTTTCCGAGAAAGTGAAAACAAATTTGCCATGTTAAAAAAGTTTATTCGGTCAAAACTAAGAGCGCTGTAAGTTTTAGCTCTCTAATGCAACGCTGGAGTATTCTGGAAACCGGGCACTGTGTCTGTCTCGAAGTCGTTCCTATCATTTCTCCGTTGGTCCTTGTAAAAAAAGAACACTGCAAAAGGCAAAGAAGCTTTTCAAGGTAAGTTTTTTCTCATGGTCGAAGGATTCGCTCGTTAATTTTTTTGGGAAAACCTCTCGAAGTTCTGCCAGTTCATTCTCGTCTTCAACTGTGATCTGCACTAAACTATACTCTCTTCCACGGTAATGTTACGATTCAGTTTCTACATCAGCTTTGTTCTCATTCAAACAAACTGAAGTTAGGTCAACATCTGGAAAGGCAAAGTCAACATCTCAGTCCTCAGGGTTTACAGACATATTTTTGAGTATATTCGGTCAAAACTAAGAGCACTGTAAGTATTTACTCGCCAATGTGACGCTGGAGTCTTTTGAAAACTGGACATTGTGTCTTGCTCGAAGTCGCTTCTACCTTTCTTTCGTTGGCCTTTGGAAAAACTCTACAAATAGCAGAGAAGCTCGTCAAGATGATCAGGTGCAGGCATGTTTGTTATTATATTTGTCGAAGGAATTACTCATTTTCTCTTAGGCAAAACATCTCGAATCTCTGCCAGTCGATTTTCGTCTTCTTAACTGTGTACTACGATGAAATTTCCAAACACTGACTAGTCAAGAATCCTCTTCGATAAGATTACGAGTTAGTTTCTTCATCGCCTTCGTTCACAAATAAACACAGTTTAAAATGTTGAAGGATCAAGTCAAAATCTAAGTCCTCAAGATTGATCTTATAACTTTATTTCAACCTTTTTCCCGACGGAAAGAGATTTAGAGCTCTGGAATGAGCATTTTCTTTGAAATTTTGGTCCGTATAGCAAGTTACGAACCGCAAATTGACCAATCGCATAGCGAAAACAGACTCAGCCATATAATAAGATGGCTTATTTTAGTACACCATAGTGCTTACACTGTATCACAAACAACAGTCAATACCTGCTTCTCTTCGAGTCTGAGCACTTTTACGTTGTTTACGCGCCTTCGCATCTCCTATGTCTGCAGAAGAAAACAAACAAAACAAGGTTGCCATTGAAAAGATTGTAAAACAATTTTGAGTTTTGTAGACTCAGTAACGGTCATGACATTCCAGAAGACTTATTTATAGAGTCTCACTTCATGGGAGACCTTTCTTGGAAAAACGAGATATAAAACTCAAGATCATCTCATCCACAAATAGGCCATTCAGTTCAGTTCAGTTCATTTTTATTTTGCCAAAAAAAAAATACACTACAAGAAAACATATAGGAATTGTAAGTTGGCAAGGGAGCCCAGAAGAAACCACAAGGCTTATGAAGCCTGGGCTCCCCAGTCATAAAGAAATAAGTACATAAAATAAAATTAGAAGAGTGATACGTTAAAAATAGGAACTAAACAGAGACTGAGTTCAGTTATGAATTCAGTAACAAGATAGAAAAAAGCACATTGTGTTTTTATCACAGCTGCTTCTCCTTTTCAACTTCTGCCATGTTTGTAAGACAGACAACCCTTCAATAGAAGCCAGGCAGATTGAAACCAAATCAGTGGTGACAAGTACATGCCATAACCCAAAGCGCCCAAAGCAAGTAAACACTAGGCATAGTCAGTCAAACATGCCAAACTTAGGAACAGCAGCTGGCAATTTCATGCTATGCATTGCGGTACTGCTAGCTGGAGGCTCTGCTACGAAAGTCTTCCGGATTTTCTCACACATGGGTCTTAGCTGTGTATCCCTCAACACCCTTTTTAAATTCCAAAGGGTAAGCCTATTTCAGTGCTGGTCACGAGTTCCAGTTAGTTGCAGGCAATGATATAAATGAATATTTTGGTACAGCTTAACTAAAGTGCAAATTAGTTCCACACTACAGATGTAAATAATATTATTAAAGTGATTAATTCAAATTAAAAAAAAAAATAACAGATACCATGCTGTAGGTAAATGATAACGTAATGTATTGTTATTGTTCTATTTAAAAACATATTGAGCAAAAAGCTGCTGCATGCTTTACAAAGCTGTATGTACATAAACTAATCTTATTATTATTTACTAATATTATTTTTTTATTTGCAATCTTTTTTTCAGAGCAAGCTCTTTCCAACAATTTTACTTTATTGGGTAAAATATCAAGCGAAATTGTTGGAAAAGGTGAAAGCTATCCAAGGGGGCATTGTGTTGGCGAGAGATGGAAGACACGACAGCGTGGGACATAGTGCCAAGTTTGGCGCTTACACTATGTTTTGTTGTACTCTGCCAATGATAATCCACTTTGCCCTTATTCAGGTTTATTCTTCAAATGTTAGTGAATTTTACAGCCAGTGTTAGCTTTATTTTACGTCACCACTACTGATAGGGTTATATAAGTACATACAGTTAAGGGGTTAAGGACGGTGCCCACTATTGTTACTGCGCACATTTCCTGCGCATGGCAAGGTAGTCGCGCGCGACGCGAAAGAAATGCGCAACACGCAGGACATGCGAACTGGTTTTGTCTCCTGTAAGTCTGGAAGGTTCTAGTTATTTCTTGTGGAAGAGATGCGTCGTTTTTCAACAGATCAAAAATATTTCTATTTAGCTCGGTGAGTTCTTTGAAAACCGAAGAAGTATGCGCATGTTGCTATTTCTGCCGTATGATCGATCTGACCGAACATTTTATAGTCAAACGAAAGTCAATTAAAAAATATCAAAAGTTATTGCTTCGAGATGTTACACTTGGAGCTTGGGTATTAAAAAATCTCTTAATAGGCAAGGATCAGTAAATCAGAGGGAAAATAGCTCTAAGTCCCCCGCTTAATCGAGAAACTGCAAGCTTACCTTTTACTCGCGTCCTTCACGTTTTATCAGCTAATCGGCTATAAACACTTGCCTGAATATTTCTTTAATTTTGTAAGATTTTATGTAATTATTCACCAGACGATAGATTTAAAGCGTTCGAGTACATACAGATGTCCCTTTTATTGAGAGTACGAGGGTTTTAGTTGCTGAACAAACAAAAAAGCTATCACAAGATTGTTTAGATTGCTGAAATCGCAGCCTCACAAATAGTTGTGGACCGCAAAGGAAACGCTTTCATCGTGGAAAAAATCGTAAAAAATTGTTATGCTTTTTACTATTAGCATTATTATTTAAGCATTTTGGCATTACTAAGCATTGAACTTATTAACTCGTTGGGCAGCTTGTCGTGTAGATAGTATTTCTTAAGGTTCAATTCCACGCCACACATAATCTGGACTTTTAGACATAGCTGCCATTTGGCTGTTTACAAAATAAAGATGGAAGGTAAAACAAAGTATTTCCATTCTTAGACTTTCTTAGGTTTAGCAGACACTGTTAAGTCGAAAATTAACATTTAGGAACGACAAATAGTGAATGATCATGACACAGAATGCTACAGTAAAAAAATCAAAACGAAATATATAAAATGATCATTATAGCCCACTTTATATATGAGGGTAGATAAACGCATTCGGTACAACTACTTTCGCAGTATTCTTTTTTTTTTTAAAGAGAGCTCATGTATGGAACTTGAGTCTATGCAAATCATTTATGTCATATGAAACTTAAGGCAAAACCCGAAAGAGATAGCGCAAAGTAGAGATATAAGCTCATTGAATGTGTGCAAGTCAAATAACATACATATTCGATCGAGATACCTGGTAAAATGATAAAAAACGATGGAAGGTTTACAATCCATATTACATCTACCGTTCAAAAAATCTTGAGGACATGTACAGGTAAGCAAACGATTGAAGGAGTATCTGTCTAAGAGTCCCTGTCGACTATATTCCACTACAGTACAGCAGTTTGTTTACATCACCAGCCTTGGATCTTGAGCTCGCCATACTACTCTATGTGCGCTGGAAGTAATCTTTAATACCTTGGAGATTTCTCTTCTCCAAAGATGTTTGTTAAATTTTTGAGACGGAGAAACTCCAGTTGAATGAAATAATATAATTTGTACTGAGTCCATGGAATGTCCTGTTTCACTTTCTTTTTTTGCTCTCCTCCGTGGGTTGTTGTTCTCTCTGACTGTTAGCCATTGTGGATATCCCAGAATACTCCGCGAATAATGAATATAAACTACCAGTAAATGTACAATTTAAACTTACTGATTGTGATGTTTGCTTCCCTAATTTTTTGGTGTACATGTAGAAATAAGAAAGGTCCTGAGCAAACTGTCTAAAGAGAAAGTTTGTGAGATTTTGGCTGACTGGATAAAGCTGTGCGAGAACCATTTGTACTGGAGTGCGACCACTACCTTCAGCAGCCATGGGAAAGTGATTTGGGCAAAGTATAAGACTTCCTTAAGTCACATTATTAACAAGCACTCTTCCCTTGACGATCCCCTTTTCAACAAGTGTGGACATGGACAAATACACCCAAGAAAATGGCTTCATGCTGGTATGTTTCATATCAGAAATATTAGTCTTATGAAAAGGGAAATACTTTCTCCATTTGCCTAAGATTGTGCTTGCTTATGCAGTAGTTGTATCTAAAACAGCATAGCAGATATCCCGGCCTGGTCGCCCTTTTCATCTGGGCCAGGTTGTTCAAAGCAGGGTTATGATAACCCAGGGTTAATGTGAAATTTGAAATTTGAAATTTGAATTGAGATATGAAAGCGTAAAAAGCAAAGTAAGTTTATCTCTTTCTACAACTTGATAATTGGATGTACAGAGAAACCCTGATTAATAAATGACTCTGCCCTGCCCCACCTTCAAACAACTGGACCCTGTAGAATGAAATGTTGTGTTTGCCTTTCTTGTTTCCTGCTTTTAGGTTCTGTTGCCTATGAAAAGCTTTACACTGCTTTGACAAAAAATAGCCTTGTAAAGGGAATAAAACAGGCATCACCTTTTGCCCAAACTAGCTGCCTGGAAGGATTCCATTCACTTCTAAACCAATTTGCTCCAAAGATGATAGCATATTCTTATGTTGGAAGGTATTGAAGGTAAGAATAATCTCCAGCTCCGCTGATTTTGCTAAACAAAGAACTTAATAGGTTTCTTTTGCTTCCTGTTTTAACAAAAAAAAAGGCCAACGCATTTTTTGCATACTTTTTTTCTTGCAAAATAAGCTAAAACTGGCCAAAAAATGCAAGGCAAGGTTTTTTTTTTCTTGTGGAATCAGAGGCCACATGGAAAAATTTTAGCTGATTTGGAAGAAAAAACACCCGAAACGTTTGCTCACAAAGTGTTATTCCAAGCTCTTCATTATTAAATGATATTATATTTTTGTAGTTTAATCTGTATAACCCCTTTATTGAAAATATTGCCTTGTTTTTATTTTCAGGCGTATTCTTGCAGGAGTTCATTTCAATTTCAATTTCAACGAGCACAGGGAAGTTAAATGCAGAGAAAGTGACGGAACTGAACAGTGGAGAGTGTCATACCCTAAGTTCAAAAATGGGGAAGCAACAGTGCGCGATGTTAAAATTACCCCAAACTTTGGTAAGTGTCATCGAGACACTGAAATTTATAATCTTGGGTAACATTTCATGTTTTAATTTTGCTTATGAGTTTATGATATTTCAAAGTATAAATAACTAAGTTAATGAGGTGGAGCACAGTACATGTAAATTCAGTATTTTGGCATTAGTTGTCTTTGACAAAATAATGTGAGGTGTAAAACAAAATATTGCTTGCAATTTGCTGTATAAAAATCAACCGGTATTGTCGGTTCTACCTATTACTAACCACCCTTAAAAGGTAAGGCAAGCAAAACTATTTACATTTGACTTCTCTTACAGAATATGTAGAGGAACTGTTTCAGACATGCTTAAGTTCAAGCAAAGATGAATTCCAGCAGGCGGCTAGGAAGCTTAGAAACATGACCCCAGCACCAATTAACACAATGTTGCAGAAGCAACCAAGAGAAGAAGCTATTGCGAAGACAATCAAGAGATCCAAAATGGTTGAGACTGATTTCCCCACAACCTCAACACTAGGTAGCTAGTTACTTACTGTAACTAGTGATCAGTAAAATGGAGATGCATTTCATTTATTTAAACTGTGGAATGACCAGGACTTAAAGAAATGCAGAGAAGGAAGCCTGAAAAAAATTGGATTTCATATTCAGCTTCCCGTTAGATTAGAGTGCTGCACTGGTATCACAGAGATCAGGGTTGGAATCCCAGCAAGCATGAATTTTTTCGGGCTTTCCTTTCACAACTGCATAAGTTGTGTATTTGACTGTAGTGATCTTTTCTGTTTATAATATATTATGTAGATTATTTTCTATAAAGATTGGAGAAAGGGATGATTTTTATGGAAAAAGGAGTAAGGATTTTTATCCTCACAACCTTTTCTATCAACTTTAGAGGAGCTGCTGAATTGTACTGTATTCAATTCACTTTTCTTCCTAGTTCCTGATGAATCAGTCGCAAGCACGAGTTCAAATACAAGAAAAAGGAAAAAATAAAAACAGAAAGAGAAGAGAGATGGCCCCAAGAAAGCTCGCTATTGCTCTGTATGCAAAAATCCAATGAAAGGACACAAGAATGTTCAAAGAATAAGAAATAGAGGTAGAAGTTTAAAAGCCATAGTGAATATTGTCTTTGTTGAGCTTCGGTTGGTCACTATTCTTGTACAAGTTTTGCGTTATGGCGGAGCTCCACGTGCGCGCTTGGCGCGCGCGTGGGCAGAGCCCCATAGCTAAGGAAATCTACCCATCCCAGAAAATTTGGTTATCACGTGACCGACCGACCGAGCGTCCACACCACAGGCATACCAATGTTTGCTCTCACACTTTTTAGCTACTTTGGGAGCCCAGGAGAAAGCTGATTGCACAGCAATGTTGTCATCAATTGACAGCTGTCAAAACAGGGTATCCGCTGACCACTATCACCTGACCGTATCGCGGGCTCAGGTGTCGACCCATCAAGGTCGAATATTTTTTGAAGTTATCCGCTGACAATTTACTCGTTTTCAAATGATCGCAGGCTCACGTTTACTTTTGTTTAAAATTCACAACTAATATGTTGTGTTTATGTCAGTATCGCGCCGCAATATTACGATTTTGATTTCAAACTGACCTCAGACGCAAAAATTCCGCCAGTTTTTTAAAAAGCATGGGGGGAAGACATTTTCTTACCATGGTCACCTGTTGGTCACGCTCCACGTGCAATTTTTATGCTCTGATTTGTTAAAATTTGACAGGTGAGTTCATGCGTAAAATTTATGCAGCATCTTGAAAGTTGTTTACTTTGACAGCTGAAGCTGACGGAGTTTTGAGTCAACTTGTGATGCTTTTAACTGTCTTTTTCCACTGGATGTACAAAATGAAATACCGCTGCTATCAAGAGTGTTCTCTTATTAATGGCTGGTTTGTTTATTGGGTTTTTGGTTGAAAAATGTGTCGCTTGTCAAAGCCGATAATCCGATTTCGGATGGCATCGTTTTTGTTTTTCACCTTGCTGGATGCGTACGAGAATTATAAAGGCTCAAGCGATCCTTGCCTTACTTAAAGGTTTCAGGAGCTGCTGAAATTAAATCTAATTTCATGAAATCCAGCTGCGCAGTTTATGAAGCTAGTTTATGCACGTTTGTATTAAGATTTGACTGAGACACTGATCTGACCTCGTATGAGGTTTGATATAAGCTTAAGCTTACAGAACTTTAAAAAGCCTTTAGTCGATATTAATTCACCGTAAATAGAAAGAAAAAACTTTTCGAAGAATATTTAGTTATAATTTTGGCTGTAGAAAGAAAGCTTTGAACGATTTTCTTGTCGTGAGTTCATCTTTGAAAACAGCCAACACCGGGAAACCGGCGGCCTAAAACATAAACTTTAAGCTTACTAGCTAGTAAAGACTTAGGATTCTTAGACACAATTAAACACTCATTTGTTTTCGTGAATGAAAATTGTTGTCTCTGTAAATGTTCTATCGAATTATTTTTCTTTATTGATTTTTGGTAGTCTCAAAAGTGTAATTTTCATCTCTTTGCCGTTTGTTTTCAGCCGTTTATAAACATCGCTTGCAGGAGTACTCAAAATGCCAAGCGTATCAAACGCTTTTTAAGATTACACATCGTTATAACACCGTTAATAAAAAATAGACTGAATAAATTCTTTATCACGTTGAAGCGTGACTCTTTTAAAATTTCTTCGCAAGTTTAGCGCTTGTCAAAAGTTAGAACCGGCTGGCCGTATAGGTCATTTTTGAAATTTTTTCAACGGTTTCGCTAATTAAAAGTCTACGCGTGCTTCGATGGTCCTGAATATTGAATGAATGCAATTTGTCTTCAAAAATTGTGAAATACTGCATTTTGTACGAGGTCTGTATGATAAAAACAGCGCCTCATAGTACTCTTTCTCCACAGATGTGGTGTATAAAAAAAATAAAAGATTGGTTTGCACGCACCCAGATTTATTGGCAAGAATTTGTAAACTTGTCGAACGCAAAAAAGTCGGTTTGATTTGTTTTCCAAGAATCTGTTTTCCACGCCTTATCTACTGTGATCAAGAGCCATCATTGCTCTTGAATGTGACCGAAGACTATTTTTTGGGTGTACATATAAGGCTATATCAACTCGATACAAAATTTGTTTCACTCCAAAATCACTTAGCTTTTCCCTCAAAAGTGACATGAATGTGCCCTTAAGTTAACTGATTTGTGGAATACAAAATTATTGTTTGATTTAAGTTATAAATTTATCAATGGGAGCTTCGCTTTTAGCTGTGGCTAAATATATATATTACTACGTATATACATGCACGTATTGTGATTGAATTGTGGCGTATGTATATACAGACAAAACTGGTCAGCTATATCCATCCTTTTGCAATTGAAATCAGAATTCTCGTACAAATTATGCGTAGCCTTGAAGGTTGGTTAGCAATAATAACTCTTTATGGAAACTTACCAGCATTACTTAGCTATATGAAAGAAAGGTCAGCGGAATTTGGTGGGAAATAAATTGAAACAAACCGGTCAGCGGGCTGTGTGTATGATCGTGTCTGGAACTAGGGGATTTGAGAAGCTGACCTTCTTTTATCAGTGACACATCTCCTGATCTCTCTTTCCCTCGTAACAAGGGGCTATAGGAGATTGCTTTTTTTCATCATGGAGAGGAAACAAGTTTCCTGCTAGCAGAGGTCTCCTTTGGCGGGCAAAAATAAATTTTCATTGCATTATGACTTTTTTTATTATTTACAACGAACACCCCTGGGGTGGTACACAGCAAATTTTTAAGTGGGGAGGTTCCGGCCCGAGGTCCAACCCCTTAACCTTTTATATACCATTTTTCAGGAAAAAGGTACCCCTTTCGTATACCTTCAATTCTATTGACATTTGGCACCCCTTTCACATACCTTGTTTAGAACTTTGCATCCCTTTTGACCACTGTAAATGAACTGTCTTCTTTATGTGATTGGAATCAATCACATATATAGAACGTTTTCTTGATTTAATAAAGCCATAAAATTCATCTGTTAGCCCTATTAGCCCTTTCACAGACCCAAATGACAGATTTCCCTACTTTCATATACTTCAACGAGTAAAATCCCTACCCTTTTATATACCTGAAGCCTGAGCAAGGTACCCCTTTTGGGCAGAGCCTCCCTTTTAGGCCATTATGGTGAGTACCCCCCCGGGCGAACACCCCACCTGTTGATTTATCACTAGTTCTTTTTTATTACACGCTTACTGAAATTTATAAAATTGTAAATCAAAAGAAAACAAAAATAGTGGTAAAAGCTAGAGTTCATTATGAATCTACTGTTTACGTTAACAATGATGAAGTGAAACAGATGATCAACAATTTAATAACACAATAATTTACAAAGGAAAAAGCCTAAAAAGTTTACTTAATCATCTTCGTCGAGTTCGAATCCAGTGTAGGTTTCATCTATGCCGACAGGAAATTGTTTTCTTGCTGCCGTGTAAGCACACGCAGGAAGAGGAATTCACTTGTTTCCCAGAAAACCATAGACAAGCCTGGAAAACTCCCTGTAGGCAATGCTATGCAAGTAACTGTAAAACAAAAAAAAGACAATAAGAAAAGTATTTAATTTCGGCTGGACGATGTTTTGAAGAATTTTATGTTTTCAAATCGAGTGTGTACCATATCGATCGTATTTGACTTCAATGCGGCACAAAAATTACAAAAACTATCTCACCTTTCTTCGGATCCAGTTTGTCTATATCTTTGTTTGGGTTTGGTCTTGACACGTTCGCCAGCCATACGTAAGCTCCACTTTTCAAGGCAGAAAGGACCAAAACCAGGATGTTGTGTGATACACCTTAAGGCCGTTTCGGGTTGAATATCTTCAAGAACACTTTCGCTACACATGGCTTCTTTGCAACCATCTAGCTCCTGGCAGCAGCAGCACTCGCTCAAATTCTGAAGGACAACACAGCTGCAGTTTCCACAGGAACACCTACAACAATCAAGGTAGCTAGAATCATACAAAAATACCACTTTTTGTAGCGAAAGCTAACAACTCTCATCATACATTACAGCAATCACGCCGCCAAAAAAGCGAGTACGCGATTATTTACATAAACTTTTACTTCGATCTGCACAAGATCATACGACAAATTTGCCGACACTCACCAAGAATCCACTTGAACTGATTCTTCAAGTCTTTCCCGTAGTTCTTGCTCTAGCTAATTTCTTTCATCAACTTCTTCTTCGTACTTTTTTATCCATACTTTATCAGCCAAGGGTTCATCGGCATACGCAATGTCATTTTCCAGGCTTCACATGAAACTTGCGACTCACAATCACTATGTTTATCCTCCACTTCGTCCAAATTTGCCTCAGAATCTTCTGAATTAAAACTTCTCTCAGAACTTGAATCACTTAAAGACATATTCCGTTGAATTTTGGTCGTTTTAGTATCCCGCTCGCTTAAAATGATTTCCCCTTTCTCGCTTCTAAGTCATTTACTCAGAGTTCGCGGCTGATTTAAGCGGCAGATGTCCCCTTTCGATGACGTCACAACAACATTCGTACCCAGTTCTCACGAAAACTCAGTAATGAACACAAGAGACCTAACTTTAAACAGCCATGGAAACGCGAGTATTTTGCCAATCACGATATTTTTTCGCAGAAGAAATCAGAAAAATAAGGAGATTTCATTTAGCGAAAAACATGTTTGGGGGTTAGTTGCACTTTAACTTTTAGGCGGTATGCCATTTGCACTGAGAGGTCATGTGATATCGTTTTTATGAAAATGAAAGTTATCTGATTTTGCCTTTGAAAAACGATTAGAAGGTCATATCTTAAACAAACTAATAACGATTTGGTTTTTCAAACCCGCACCATTTTCTTAAAGTAAGTAAGTCCGTAGCTGGTCACGTGACCAAAATGTGATTTTTAAAATTATGAATTTCTGAACACAAATTCTGCACTAAAACTTCAAGGAAAATGTAGAAAAGATGTGGTGGTAATGTTTACAGTACATCTGAGCGTAACTATCAAACTTTTAACAAGATATAAGCAAAAAGTAGATCTGGCCGCCATGTTGGAGGGCAAGAGTATGCCCTCCAACATGGCGGCCAATACAAATCATACTACTTTGTTGAAAAATCAAGGTGCCATAAAATATCTCCCTTAAATTCGTTTCGCCTCAAATTTCGGGTGTAAGATAATTTTTACATGCTATGTCAATTTTTGGCATCACCAAGATTCCAACTCATTGCTTAAAGGAAGCATTGGTCACGTGACCTCATAGTGCAAGTAGCCTATCGATGTAAGTTAACTGAACTTGATTAGCCTACTGAGATCATGGTTTCATTAGCGGCGTGAGGAGGATAGCGCCTCCGCTGAGAAGCCTTCGGCTCCTGGTGAGTGATGTATTTTCGACTGGCAAAAATTTAGAATAGCAGGTATAGTTTTTGAACGCGTATACCAAAGAATAACGTGAATTTGTCGAGGATATCAGCATATGAATGTTGAGAATAATTGATTTATTATTTGAAAATTACATTTTTTTTTGAATATGTAGTTGCTGGCCTCTCTGCTCCTTCTGCTGCTGCCTGACCAATTCATACTAGAGAGTAACATGGCTAAATTTGTAGTGCACTATATTTCCCATACTCAGATTTCAATGTGAATATTTGTTGAGATATGAAATAAAAACTGAGTGTGGTGGATTTACGCGTTTATGGCCTGATTCAAATGAGTTCAGTATCTTAATCAAACTAAGGAGTCTCTCATATTAGATGCAATATGAATCGACTAATCAAACCAACAGCTTTACAGATGATGATAATTACTACAAGACAAAGAACTCAATAAGTGTTAACTGCCTCTGATCAAAATTAATCTTAATCTCATGAGTTATTGGTCTGTACTGTGACCTCTTTGTTAGCCACTTTAACAGTCACATTCATTACACAAGCCGGAACAACTTCCATGACCTAGCACCACACTGACCCAAGAATCACCCTACAGAAAGGATACAGGCAGAAAGTTGTTGTGGGGTTCCTCAGAGTTCTATCTTCGGCCCCCTTTTATGCTCTCTATTCATCGACAAGAGTAATTTGTATCCTTAGTTTGAATTTTTTTGGTCTTCACTAATGTTAATAGTGTAATTATGTTGATCTTGGTCAAGGGTTGCTCATAGAAATGCGCAATCTTTTAAAAAGGTTCCAGGTGAGTAGGTTTTCTTAAAATCTAGATTATCCGGTGTAGATAAAATTTACCAGTATCTAATTGACTCGCATACAAACTATTAACATGGCTCATTTTAATGCACCGTGCTGCTTATCAAAAATGAATATCCTGCTATCTTCTACGGTCAATACCTGCTTCACTTCGATTCTGAGTTCCACTATTACCGTCTCTTGGCGCCCTCGCATTTCTTGTGTCTGCAAAAGAAAACAACAAAACTAAAAGAAGGTTGCCACTGAAAAGATTGAAAAGCAAACTTTGAAAAAGGTTCAAGGTGAATAGGTTATCTTAAAATTTAATTAGTTAATTCAGTGTAAATAAAATCTACCGCTTTGTCATTCACTCACAGGCTATTATGATGGCTTATTTCAGTACACCATAGTGCTTACACTGTATCACAAACAACAGTCAATACCTGCTTCTCTTCGACCGTTAGCTCTGTTACGTTCTTCACGCGCCCCCGCATCACCTATGTCAGCAGAAGAAAACAAACAAAAACAAGGTTGCCATTACAAAGATTATAAAAAATTTCGAGGTTTGTAGACTCAGTAGCGGTCATGACATTCCAGAAGACTTATTTATAGAGTCTCACCTTATGGGAGACTTTTCTTCGAAAAACGAGATATAAAAACTCAAGATCATCTCACCCACAAATAAACCATTTAGTTCAGTTCAGTTCATTTTTATTTAGCAAAAATATAATTCAATACAAGAATACATATAGGAATTTTAAGTTGGCAAGGGATCCCAGAAGAAAGCAGTAGGCTTATGAAGCCTGAACTCCTAAGTCACAAAGAAGTAAGTAAAATGAAATTGCAGGAGTGATACGTTAAAAAAGGAACTAAACAGAGACTGAGTTAAGTTATGAATTCAGTAACAAGATAGAAAAAAGTTTTTAACTTTTGGGCGCCATAGTTAGGGGTTATAAAACAAATCGATGTAGGTTAACTGAACTTGATTGGCCCACTGAGATCACGGAGCAGAAAATTCACGTCCGTTTACCTCCGCGACCACGTGCACGACCACGCGCATTCAGTCAGTCAGAAACTTCCAGATCTTGTCTTCTTCAAACTTTTAGAATTATGCAGTCACTGGCATCTTTATTGGTCGATTCTTGGGGCGGGGCGGGGGAAACCTTGATTATTTTTTCAGCTGCCCTTTTTTAACCTAATTTTTGAAAAATTAATTCGTGAAAACAGCAGAAAATTGAATTCACGAATAAATGAATATTCATCTACAGAATAGTTGAGCTAGTATATTTTATCTTAACACTTACCCTGACCAACAAAAAACCCGAAGGTAAAAGTTGCCAACCCTGCCAAAATCCCGCCAGCTAATACAGCTATGGGAGGTGATGAAATGAGATAATATTAATGTTCAGTGTCATAGTTTAGAGCTTAAAAAATTTAAAGGTAGCAAATATCCAAAACTTACGCTGACTTCGATGACTTTAATGCCGAGTTTTTCAACGGTTGTGGGGAGGTGTATGGTGGCCCAACATTATCAGGTCGTTTCTTACATATTTTCAGAATTCAGCTACAGTAAAAGATGGTATTACTAATTAAAGTACAGTTCAAAACAAAATTTAGATGTTTAAATTGTTTGGCTGCTTTGCAAGATTCAGTTTAAATTTCTTACATGATTTGAAATTTCAGGTTGAAATAATATATGTATTTACAGTTTTTTTAATAGTGGTCACAGTAAAAAAAGCAAAAAAAGAAAAAAATATGTATCCGACTGGATTTGTTAAAACGTGGTTAAAGAAATTTCAAGTGCATTTTAACAATTTGACATCTAAATGGAATGGAAAGCAGTCAAAAGTCACTAGCTGAGGCTAAACAATGACGGCATTATTGCTGGCACTTGACGGTAAAGTTCTCTTGCAGAGGTAACAAGATTTTGCGATGAAATAAACAACATTTAAAACGTCCAGAAATTGTAATCTTTTAGCCAGTCAAACCATGACGCCCATAGCTTAGTGTCTGCTGAAAACAGATTAAGAATCCACAATGTTTGAGCACAGAGAGGCTTTCTAAGGCAAAATCACCTAAAATTAACACTCACGAAGCGTTTTTACGCTTGGCAAAAAGTATTCTGGTATCAAACACGGGCTCAACTAAACATACCTGAGATTTGTCTGTCAACACTTTCGCTAAATCACACAATAAATGACTTTCGAGGTAATCACAACACTTCCCAAAACCACTCATAATATTTCCATACTTAACACCCGCGAAACATTTTCTCTCACTTTTCTCCACATAAATGGTTACATGGAACTTTTCTCGACTCACTGACAGTCGATTTATTCAAGATCCCGGGTGTAAAACCAGCGGTTGAAAAGGAGACATACAGCCCCCGCCTTCCAAACATTTTTTTACTAAGTCTTTAGCTTGGTCAGGATTCAGCGTCAATTTCAATCTCGCCGAACACATTTCATCCCTAGAACCTACTTTGTGAGGCCAAAGACTTGTTACTGCCAACAACAAAGCTCGCAATATCCAATCTTTCCGTCTCAAGCCCGGGATCAGTCTTTCACGCGTGTAGCCCGAAATGAGACGAAATACGAGAAGATATTGGACGCAGGAGACTTTGCCAGTCGTGAGAATTGTTCCATCGTAATGATGCCTTCCGCAAAACTTTGCTCAAGGCAGCCAAAAAAACTCTAAGAC